TTTATTTTCCTAGATATAATATATATTTGATAATGGCAAAATATCGAGTTTCTCACCTGACAGTCATGGCCTGACTTGACCCTTCCTCAAGTCCACACATAGCTCCAGGAAATAAAAGGAAGTTCCTGTAGAAGGTTTTCCATTTTAAAGTCTGTAACATGAGGTCCCAGTTGCAACACAACTAAGTACACATGGTAATCTGACTTTCCCAAGGTCACTCTGCTAGATAGGCACAGAAATGGGATCAGAACCCAAATTTTCAGGCCTATAAGTTTGGTTTCAGTGAATAAACATCATTTTTAGATGTTTACATATTAGGGGGGATGATTTCCACTATGAAGCATTATAACGCACCATATTATCTCTTAATAAGGTGTGTTCAATTTATCAGCACATGGGCTATTTCTTTTCCTTTTTTGAGATATCAGCAGATACCCCTGGCATTTTAAACTTGTCATCTGATTTGAGGAAGAGCTCTGAAGTATAAAACATGCATCATTACCAAATGCATATATTTACTGGCTTTACTTGGTTTGTTCTAAATATTTATAAGCCTTGCCTTTCTTTTTCGCCAATAATTTTGGAAATCTTTCATAGGAAGGGCAAAGAGAGCAGGGTGTCTCTATTCTCTGTAGTTCTTCATGGAAGTGAGGGGGAATATGTAATGAAATTGATGGATGGAATTGATAAGACTAAAGAACTTTCTCTAGCCACTCTGGTACTAATTTAATTTAATAAACACAACATTTTTTTAGATTCTGAGCTATAAAGATGATTCAGACAATGTATCTGTTCAATTTACCTTCCTTCAGAGAGAATAGAGTTTGGTAGGTTAGGTAAATGGGTATCAAAACAAGGATAATAAGAACCCAGAACATAACCACTCAACAGAGGTTAAGATGAAGTGCTTTGGGAAGAGGAGAGATGCTCAGACAAGAATAGGCAGGCTTTTAGAGAGAGAGTATTGTAGTATGTGATTGGGATGAACCTTGAGGGACCTTTTAAAAAAATTTTTTGTATTGTTGTTCAATTATAGTTGTCCCTGTTTTCCCCCCATTACTCTCCCCTGCCCTACCTACCCCCTCCCTCCCACATTCAATCCTCCCTGCCCCCTCTGTTGTCCTTGTCCATGGGTCCTCTATACATGTTCCTTGACTAGACCCTTCCCCTTCTTTCCCCTTCCCCTGTCAGTCTGGTTCCTGTCAGTTTGTTCTTTATTTCCATGTCTCTCATTCTATTTTGTTCACTTGTTTGTTCTGTTGATAAGAACCTTGAAGGATCTTACCTCAGCTGACCGAATATCAGAATTCAAGACTTGAAATTAAAGAAAGGAAAAGAAAAAAAAAAGAATTCAAGACTTGTTACCTGAGATCCAAGATGGCAGCCAAGTAGGTGGAAGCTACACTAGCTTCTCCCCAGAACCAAACTGGAATTATAACTAAATTATGGAAAAATCATCCTGAATAACCAGCTGAGCACTAACTGGAGAGAAGCCTTATAACCAAGGACTTATGGAAGAAACCATATCACCACATTGAGGCTGGTAGGAAGTGTGGAGATATGAGGGGGCTGGCTGGACTCCCATGGGTGGCAGCTTAAGTTCTGAGGGATATTTTAGCAGCTGGGGTGGTGTCCCTCTGAGAAATGCAGGGTCTAAATCCCAAGCTCAGTTCCTCAGCCTACAGCTCTAGAACCACGAAAGAAACCCAAATTAATATCCAGCAGTGAAAAACAGCAGGGTTTCTGTCCACCAGGGAGAGATGGTCAAAGACATTGAGAGCCTCTTAAAGGGCCAATACACAAAATTTCATTTGCAGCCACTTACCCTGGGCTGTGACAGAGGCAGGGCAAAGCACACTAGAGCTATGTGAGGATAGTCTGGTGTTGGTGGCTCTGGGAAGAGAGCTGAAGGGTCAGTCACTGGGATCCCTATGCTGAGTCATTCCCACACTGCAGAATCCATCTTTCTTAGTGACAGCACTCCCTTCCAGGTGGTATCAGCCTGAGGGGAAGTGAGCCTCACCCATAAGAAACCCTCTTACCCCACTCTATGGAGCTTACAGCTAGAGGCACTTTCACTGATTCAGCCTGCATGTTAAGGTGGATCTCTGGAAGCTTTGAGACTTTAGCTTATCCTCTCCCAGGCTGGTGCCAGTAAAAGCCAGCCATGGTGCACGGCTAGATTCTTTTTCCACAAACTCAGGCCCAGCAGAGGGAGCCATAAGCTATAGGTCACTGATAGCTCCAAACAGGATGCTCACGGCCATTCACAGGCAGTGTCTGACACAAGCTGGTACCGAGTCTTCGCAGATCTTCCTAATACATAGAAACAAATACAAAGAGGCATCCAAGATGGGAAGACAAAGAAACAGGCACCAAATTAAAGAACAAGAGAATTGTCCAGAAGAAGAACTAAATGAAATGGAGGAAAGCATTTTATCAGATATAGTTTAGAGTAATGATTATAAGGATGGTCATCAGCATGAAAAAAGACATAGAAACCATAAAAAAGGACCAGTCAGAAATATAGAATGCAATATCTGAACTAAATAATATAGTGGAAGGAATAAACCATAGGCTAGATGAAGCAGAGAATTGAATCAGTGATTTGAAGACAAGGTAGAAAAAAACAGCCAAGTAGAGCAGCAAATAGAAAAAAAGAATTTTAAAAATTGAGGAGATTTAAGAAACTTTTGGGACAACATGAAGCATAACAACATCTGCATCATGGAGATACCAGAAGAAGAGAGTGAGCATGGGATTGAGAACCTAGTTGAAGAAATAATGACTGAAAACTTCCCTAACCTGGTGAAGGAAAAAAACAAGTGCAGGAAGAACAGAGAATACCAAACAAGATGGAACCAAAGAGACCCACACCAAGACACATCATAATTAAAATGGCAAAGCTTGAAGGAGAGAATTTTAAAAGCTTCAAGAGAAAAACAGTTAGTTACCTATAAGGGAGCTCCCATTACCTATCATTCGATTTCTCAACAGAAACATTTCAGGTCAGGAGAGATTGGCATACTATTCAAAGTGATGAAAAGCAAGACCTTACAACCAAGATTATTTTATACAACATGGCTATCATTTAAAATAGAAGGAGAAATAAAGAGCTTCCTGGACAAGAAAAAGCTAAAGGAGTTTGTTAAAATCAAACCAGTATTGCAACAAATGTTAAAGAGCTTGTTTTCAGAAGAAGAAATAAAGAAAAAGATAATAAACAGAGGAAAAAGTTAAAATATAATTGTAAATAAATACCTATCTATCAATTATCACTTTAAATTATAAATGGCTTAAATGCTCCATCAAAAGACATAAGGTAGCTGAATGGATAAGATAACAAGACCCATATATATATATATGCTGTCTCCAAGAGACCCACCTCAGAATGAGAGATACATATAGACAAAAAGTAAAGGGATGGAAAAAGATATTTCATACAAATGGAAAAATAAAAGGCTTCATAGTACTACTTATATCTGACAAAAGAGACAATAAAACCTAGAATATAGTAAGAGACAGAGAAGGACACTGCATCATGATAAAGAGAACAATTCAACAAGAGGATATAACCCTAGTACACATTAATGTACCCAATATAGGAGCACTTAAATATGTAAATCAAATTCTGATGTACATAAAGGGAGCAATCAACAGAAATACAGTCATAGTAGAGGGTTTTAACACCCCATTGACTTCAATGGATAGATCTTCCAGATAGAAAATCAACAAGGAAACAGTGGACTTAAGTGACACACTAGATCAAATGGATTTAATTGATATCTACAGAGTATTTCATCCCAAAACAGCAGAATAGACATTCTTTTCATGTGCACATGGAATGTTTTCTAGGATAGACCACATCTTAGGACATAAAACAAGTCTCAATAAATTTAAGAAGCTTGAAATTATACAAGCATCTTCTTTGATCATAATTCTATGAAACTAGAAATCAATCACAAGAAGAAAACTGAAAAATACAAAAAGACATGGAAGCTAAATAACATGTTATTAAACCATGAATGGGTCAACAATGAGATCAAAGAAAAAATGAAAAGATACCTAGAAACAAATGAAAATGAGAACACAACAACCCAAAATCTGTGGGTCACAGGGAAAGCAATCTGAAGAGGGAAATTCATAGCATCACAGACCTGTCTTAAGAAACAAGTAAAAGCTCAAATAAACAATTTAACTTCATATTTAACGGAACTTGAAAAAGAACAACAAACAAAACACAGAATGAGTAGAAGGAAGAAATAATAAAGATCAGAGTAGAAATAAATGAAATAGAGTCTACAAATACAACACAAAAGATCAGTGAATCCAGTGTGGGCTGCCCACAAAGAGCGAGAAGGCTAAGAAGGTTGGGGAGAGCCTCTTTGTGGATGGCCCTGTAGGCCCCATTCATGATTTGGGGTTTTATCCTTGCAAACCAGGGAGCAACACACATTTGAAAGGTTATTTTGGGTGTAGAATAGAGGAAGGATAAAAGTAAGACAAATATAGGTATGAAAAGATTAGTCATCAAGATATCAAGGTTTGCCTAGACTCCAGGCAAAAAAAATGGGGGTGACTTGGACTGAGGTGGAGACAGTGGAGTCCAGATGAAATGTTGGGAGGAGAGCATGTGTTGAAGAGATGACGTGGCTTGACAATATCACTGTAGGTGCACGTGTGTGTGTGTATCCCATGGCAGTGAGAAGGGTCAGATTATCTCTGTAAACGGGCTAGATATTATGTTAACCATTTTGCATTGTTTTCAGTGATCCTCTCTTTTCCTTCTTAACAGAATCCCCACACTCCCAATCCAGGCCTGAAGTCAGACCAAAACGGCAAGAATCAGTCATTCTCATCCTAATCCCCATATATAGAAACTGTGCAAGGTTTCCTTGTGGGGGTCCCCAACTCCGATTATTCATTACAGAAAAGGAGAAGGAAATAGGGAGCAGATAGGGACTTGCTCACCACTATGGAAACTGGAACTTTGTGGCATATGAAGTAAGCTCTGGGCCAGGTGTTCTAGTAATAACTAGTTGACATTTGACAAGTTTGTGTCTTCATTTTCTCCATTTTAAAGTAAGGCGATTATATAACATGGGTTTTAAGTAAGATTTTAATCTAGTCCGGCCAGGTCACTCAGTTTGTTAAAGCATTGTCCTGATATGCTAAGGTTGTGGGTGTGATCCCTAATCAGGACACCTTCCATAAATTTTCACTACATAAACAGAAGATAAGCAAACGATCTCCTCTGTACATATTGAAATGGCTCTTTGATATTACATTTCTTTCAGGGCTTGTGGAAACTGGGTGGTATTTCTGTAAGTTGTTAAAAACTTAAAAATATGCTCCAATGTAGCTCCAAGTGAGGGGGAAGGAAAGAAGTTCCTATTAGCGAAGTTTGAAGAATGACCCATATTAGAGACATAATCCACATTGTTCTAGAATTTGAAAGACTTGGACAAAGGCTTCTTATATCTGGTATAAATTTAGGTGTATGAAGAAGGTCCTTTTGCCTTGCCTCTGAATATACCTTTTTTAAAATATTTTGTTTATTTTTAGAGAGGGAAGGGAGGGAGATAGAGAGAGAGAAACATCAATGTACTGTTGCTGGGGGTTATGGCCTGCAACCCAGGGATGTACCCTGTCTGGGAATCGAACCTGCGACACTTTGGTTCGCAGCCCGCGCTAAATCCACGGAGTTACGCCAGCCAGGGCTGAATATACCTTTCTCTACCTACTTATTGACATATGAAATTCCTTCAATAGGATGAAAAACTTTCTGTTAAACAATTACATATAAAAATGTAGTACAAACATTATTGGGAGAAACACACTAGGCTGTTTATGATTCACCTCTACTAATTTCCAATAGGTTTTCATAAGAAATGGAAGAGAAAATTTAAGGTTGCTGAATTCCTAGATTAAGGTGGAACTGCTTGAGAAGAGAAGGATTAGGAGAAAGGTTTGCAGAAAGGATAGACTTTTACAGTCCAATATTGTGAAAACTCGGCCTTTGGTACTTAGAGAATATGTAACTGAATTGACAGGGCAAAATACCTCACAATGTTTGTGGAATTGCTAAATTGCAATTTAAAAATCAAGAAAATGAAGGCTAGAGAAGGAAATGATTTTCCTAAGGTCATGGAGTAACAGTGAGACAGTAAGTACTAGGACAGATGCTCTGTGAGTTCTTTCCACTCCACTCTGCGGATTTCTCACAACTGCTTTCTTCCTTTGAATACTTGGTTCCCGAGGCCAGTACAGCTTCCCGCAGCTCAAATGGGTGCAATTATTGTTTCTCTTTTATTTTTGCATTTTTAATCCATTTCTTGTCTAGAAGGGCTGAAGGCATCAAACATCAAATGACAATTTTCTTCTTGTCTAACAAGACATTCTAGAATTTAAAAAATATTAGGAAGAAATACAACAAAATATTATCAGCACATCTTTCTGGGTGGTGGAATTGTAAACAATTTTTATTTTCTTCCTCATCTTTTTTTTGTACATTTAAAATTTTCTAGAATGGACTTTAAAAGAAGTTTATTAATTTTTTCTTATGAATTACTTTATAATAAAAAGTAACATATTGCCTTGGCCAGGTGGCTCAGGTGGTCAGAGCATTGCCCTGTACACCAAAAAATAACATTATATATATGTAATATATATGTATATGTATGTGTGTGTGCGTATGTGTGTGTGTGTATATATATATATATATATATATATATATATATATATATTCTCCTTCTTCCCCTATTTCTACTGTTTGAATGATCCTGCCTTCATTTAAGTGAAGTGGAGCACTGGGCTTCCATTAAGCAGGGTGAAGGGCACATCAGTTATCCTACAGATACTTGAGACAGTCAAGGAAGACCCTCATTTGTGGCACTCACTTCCAGTATTTTCTGCTGGAAGGGCAGACTGCTGTCTGAAATGACTGCTGGTCTTTCAGCAGAAACCGTCTCTGTCCCCCTTTCCTTCTTGGGCATGAGTCTTGGCTCTCTGTAAATATGCAGCCTTGCTTCATTCTCACCAACCTATTGTGTTTCATATATATATACTGTGTGTGTGTGTGTGTGTGTGTGTGTGTGTGTGTGTGTATGAAAAAATACTTTTAAGGAAAAAACCTCTCACACAATTCAAGACAACAAGAAAGCACAAACTCTTAGTGCCATGGGGTAGACTTTTTCCTTCTTTTGGCATGTAAAAGGTTATTAAATCTCACCTTTAACTGAAACATAATTAACAAAAGAAAAAAGCAAACAAAATATAACCAGAGTCATTGAAATTAAGAACAATCTAACCATAGCCAGAGGGGAGGGGGGAAGGGACAGTGGGGAGAAGGGTTTTCAGGAACTACTATAAAGGACACGTGGACAAAACCAAGGGGGAGGGGGGAAGCAAGGGAGGGAGGTGGGCTTGGCTGGGGTTGGGGGCGGGGAGAAAATGAAGACAACAGTAATTGAACAACAATAAAGTAATTAAAAATAAATAAATAAATAAATAAATAAATAAATAGGGTATTAAATTAACTTCCTCAATATTGCACCTAAACCTTCTTCCATAACACATAGAGATGTATAATCCTAGGCTTTTGTACATGAGAAATAAAATAAATTAAAAATAGGCCTAAAAAACCTATTAAGGATGAGAGAGAGAGAGAGAAAGAGAAGAAACGAATGGGTCTTGCTTTTCTGTGGGTCACCCTGGGTATATTTGGTGTTTTTTTGCATTTCCACCACCACCAAGAAAACAAAATTCTACGATATCCCACAAAAGTTAAACTTCGAGCTTCTTCCATGGAGAAGAAATATAGAAAATTTGAATCTTTCAATAACTATTTGATGTATATGTTTCTTTCCCTTCATCCTGATTTCTGAAACCCAACTTCCCTCACCATATTGCATTTGCTTTGTTCCTTTTCAGTTATGCCCAGGAATTAACGATGAAGTGTCTAAGAAGCTGTGTCAATTTGCTCATTGACATTTTTCTGTTTAACATATAGGTAATATATGTTGTAAAAATACACACATTTCTCCCAAGGGACTTAATAAAAGATATTTCATTTTCAGTATTAAAAATGAAGCTGTAAACATTTTTCCCCTAAGTTGGATCTTATGCAAAATAGTGACTAACCACTAAGCCAGATTCTTTCTTGCTCATTTTTAAAATTTTATTTTGTTGCCATTAAAACTGCCTTAGATTTCTTTGACATCTCCTTCTCCAGGGGCCATGTATGAAGATCAGATATATCCAAAACATGATTATTCAGTTAATGATTTCAATGTCCTCTTACGGAAAAATCCCTTCTGAAAACTACCTCTCAGTAACTCTAATAAAGGTGATTACAGGAGGCCAAAGAAAGGCAGTGAGGATGGCCTTTCCCTTCTCACCCTCCCTACTTCTCTCGCTTCCCTTTGCCCCTTTCTGCGGGGAGCCAGCCCTGCTGTCTGACACAGTCACAGAGGGAGCCACATGTCCGCACAGCAGACACGGCGGTGGGGGGTCGTGGGGGGGGACACCAGGCACTCCTCTGCTTAATCATTGTATTACTGCCCGTGCTTAGGGTCTACGTAATTTACCATGGGACTGGGACAGATGGCAATTCCACAGAAAAAGTACAGTTCTTCGGAAGTAAGCAAGAAAAGGAGAGCTCATTAGAAAGTGACTCCCCACCAGAGTGTCCTCCTAAGTCGGTTAGAGAGTTCAAAGAATGGGAATGGAAGAGACTCCTAGGATTATTCCCTACAAAAACCCCTATACCCACCCTTATTACACAATTTCTTAGAACCAGGGCTCCGGGAACAAGGAATAGATTAAAAAAACACATTTGGTCAGCATTGTACCAGTATCCATGGTCTGTTCCTCCTTTAACTCCTAGACCCACTGATCCCCCTTTACCCTATACTGGAATCTATCATAAAGGGTCAGGATGGGTAAATATAAATGGATATTGGAAAGATTATTATACACTTTCCTTCTATGAGGCCCTTAAGCGATCAGGGCCCCCATGGTGTTTGTTGCCAAAAAAAGTTAGACATCAAAGATGGAAACAAATAATAGAAATGCATCAGCACCAAGGTAGATGGCAGGCAGCCGAATGGACTGAGCAAAACAAAGATTATTCCTTGCTTAGAAAGACAGGGTCTGGCGTTGAAGTGAGAAGTGAGAGACAGGTATTAACCACATTGACCATGAAAGTCTTCTGCATGGCCTTTGCCAATGAGCTAAAACAATCCTGTGCCCTTCTACGTGCCCAGCTTGTGGCTTTAGAATATATAGATTAAAATTAAGTTAAGCTTTAAAAAATTAAGGTGTTATAAAGTGGTAAAACGTGTTACTGATTAATTGCAAAGATTAGGAGCTAAAAAGCTTGCACAATAATATGCAGTTATAATGGACAGCTGTTTCTTATTATGTCTGTGTCATATTTTCTGCGGGGCACTGACAAAGCAAGTATACCCTGAGAACCTCATTTTGATAGCTTTCACATATGCCACATGTACACACCCAACTATATAAAAATGAAGAACTCAGGAGCCCAGCAGAGATGCCAGGCTGTTGAGCTTGAAACTGCACCTCTCATGTCATTCCTGCGCCAACACTGTCCCTCCACTGGGAATCCCTGGACCTGCTGGAGCAGGACTCCAGCACCTTTCTCTACATTTTCTCTGTCTCCCTTCTTCCTCCACATCTTTTCTCTCTTCCCCTTCTCTTTTTCCTTTTACCACCTTTTCTCCCTGTCTCCTACCCTGCCTGAACTGAGCAATATACCAGATGGATGAACCTTTAAATGCTCACTAAGGGCCCAGTATATAGCCTTTGAGGATTATGTCATGAGACTGTGAAAATAAACTTTCTCATATTTACTACTGTTATTAATAATAACAATTACTATTACTACTAAAATTATTATAATTATAATACCTTATTTTTGTTACCCAAATTTATGACAGCAGAACCAGAGAAACATGCCCTGTCCCCAGAAGAATGAGCACCCTATACAATTTACACTGGGAAACCTCAAACTAGCCAAATTTCCCCAGTGGCATATTCCTGCAAACCAAATTCTAATTTTCTCTTCCCTAAAAGAGAAGTGCAGGATACTCCACAGGTCTCTGGAAAATCATTTGCTGTTTGGGGTTGGACCAACTTTGGTAGAGCCCCAGAACCACATGTACAACAATCAAACCAGTGACGCTGGTCACTTGGCTAGTTGTAAGGTGGAATGCAGAGATCCTGACTCCTAATGTGAACAATTCTTATTACACTTGTTTTATTTTTTTTTTTTGGTGTGTGTGTGTACAATTGTATTGAATCTTCAACTTTAAAAAATATTTTATATTTAATTTCTCATTTATCACTTTAGATACCCCAACATTCTAGCTTAAAGCTATAGCCAAAAGCTCTGCTTAAATCAAAAAGCAAATATTAGTCACAGACTGAGAAAGTGAAACACAGTGTAAAGCTTTATTAGTTTTTCTCCAGTCATATTAAATATCTGTAAGCATTTGAACTATACCCAAAGCAGACTTACCTGTTATTTTCCCCTTACATGAAGAGCCTATTATGATGTCATAAAATAAACTTACTTGGTGTCATTTCTCTTCAAGAAGCCATATTAATTGCTGTCTGAGGCAGGAATTGGTACTTTGAAAGATTAATACATGATTTTATTAGTTTGTTTTAGTATTTTTATGTGTATCAAAACTAAACAAAATTGGAGTGGTTCTTTCCCTTCTTTCCAGCATTAGGTATTACATTTTGCCTTTTTCTATTTTTAGGAAGTTTTGTTTCTATTCCAAGGTATAAAATAGAATGACAAATGACAATGTGTACTAAGGAATACTGATATTTTTACAGGACTTGTAACTTTGATCAGTACTTTTATATGCATTATTTCATTTAACCTTGATAATATCCCAAAATGTGAAAAGAAATTAAGATCTCTGCCTAAATGGTAAATAAGGTGAAGAAAAGTAAGGAATGAAGAAAGAGAGCAAAAATTTTGCATACGATCATATACTTTCTAAATGATGAAACCAGAATTTCAATCCAGGTCTCCTGACTCACCACTTTAAGTTATTTCTGCAAGAGCAGGAGATTTCTCTCTCTCTCTACTAGGAGCTGATGCCATCAGGTCCTCATGCTAAATATATCCAGCAGTTAAAAATATACACCAGCCATTTCCAACCCTGACCCAATGCATTTGTTTGGCTTTCTATTCTACTTCAAATCAAGACCAACTGTTGTACCTAACTAAATTATTTTATAAAATTTTGGAATAAAGCAACTACTACCCAGAAACCATTTAAAAAAAAACCAGTTATCTTTACATGATTAATTGTAATCACTTTCCCTTCCTTGTTTGAGAGTGTGAGATTTTCCTCTCTC